GACACAACATCTTTGTTTGTATGTGGTGCTGAGGATCGAACCCGGGCGGCAAGCATGCCAGGTGAGCGCGATACCGCTTGAGCCACATCCCCAGCCAGAGAGAGTGCTGTCTTGTATTGGGGCAGTTAGACAGATGGTAAGATATATAATCAGCTAAACTCCATGAGTTATTCAGGGGGTAGAAATCTAGTTGGGAATTGAATGCCTGATGTAATTTGAAGATAGGGTTTTTAAGCTCTTATTTCCCTAGGACCACAGCTAGGGTAGAAACTCACAGCTCTTAAACAGCAGAGCTACCGCTGTAGAATATGGCCCATTACACAAGAAGAGCCCCAAAGAAATGGTCAGGCTAATTCCATCTGATTGATCTGCTACTAAGTGGAAAGAGAGTGGTTCCAGAACTACTCTTCTCCCCAGCCTACGACCTTGAAGAGTATGAGGACATCTAGGAATTTACTCTGCTGTAATCTTAAAACCTTTAACTGCCAAGCACTCCCAAGATTCCATCAAGTTCATCTCTTACCACACTGTATCCTTTCTCATCTATTCATTCAACCAATACGGACACTTATCAGTGGTTTGAGTCAAGTAACATGAGCAGAGATTTAGCAATAAACTGGAGAGGTATGGTACCTACCCTCATCATACTTAACACTCTCCCTTTATAGCAAGGGTTTACAGAGTGTCAGTGATGGATTCTTGTGCTCAGTGCTGTGTTGGGAATATATAGATGCTCGACTTTGCAAATCTGGAATCTAATCCATGATCCTACTTTAGAGTTCATAAATTGTCTCCTTACCTCCTTCCCCTTCTTCTGTTAGAATAGCAACACAGCCAGCTAATCTCTGTATGCCCCCCCCCTTCCCTTGCAGTAGCTTAGCTTTTGGCTTACTCTGATTGATATAATCTGAGAATATATGAGACTTCAGTGAAAACTCCTTCAGATGTGTAAACTGCAGTTGTACCCCTTTTGTCCTGCTTTCTTTCCTCAATTTAATGTTGCCTTCAACCACATCAGCTACCTGGACTATGAGAAAGCCTTCTACCAAAGCCTTACTAGCATTTCTGACTCACTCAGGAGTGTGTTTTTCGTTTCCTTCATAAGCCAATAGTTCCCACTCTGAGTCCATCTTTCCTGATGAAGTAGCTCCTGAACAAGGATACCCAAGGGAAACTGAACCCCTGTTTACTCACTTCTCTGCCTGCTTTCAAGTCTAAAATATACCATAAATGTGCACACTCATTTCCATTCCCTCTTTATAAACCAGTTTAGGTACATAATATCCTCTTACCTGACAAACATTTTTAAAGTTAAAAATAACTGTCCTCAACAGTTTTTTCTGTCAAATAGTTTCCAAGTTTTTTTTTTTTTTTTCCTTAAAAAGGGCAGAGATTCTATTCATGGATAATTTGATCCATCTTACACAAAAGTAATGGGAAGACCTTTTGTTCTAAGTCTGCACAAATGGAATTCTATTGACTGGTGGTAGTCCCACAAGGTTAACAAATAGATACTCATTTATTGTCCCTTTCATGGTCTGGTTTCTTGCTTTCAAATAAATTCCATATCTGTTCAAGTCACTGAACTGAAAGCAAGCATTACAATATACTAGTTAAGCATGCCAGCTCTGGAAGCCACCCGAGTTTAACCCTTTGTTCCTTGACATCACTGACATTTTACTAAACCTGTCTCATGCCTCACCTTCCTCATCTATAAGGGATAATAGCACCCACCTCACTGGGTTATTAAGAGGATTCAGTAACAATATATGAAAACCCTTAGAACAGTGCCTGGCATATTGGTGAAGTTTGAATAGTTGGTTAATACTATTATGATTGATTCACTTTGGAAACCACAGGCCAGGCCTGTTTCACAAACTAATAAGCTCATTCACCAAGTGTCCCAAAGTGATTGATAGCATTGAATATTTCCATCACTGTGCCCCAATTTAATTACTCAGTTTATGTTATTAGGCCAAAGAGACAAGTTCTGTTGTGGTAAAGTTACCATAAGTAAATATCAGAGCCAAATCAGAACACCAAAACTTGGAGGATTTATTGTTTCTCACAATAGTAACTTAATTTGCTTGCATTTCTAGCATCACAAATCTGAAGTACAATTTTTCTTCTCAATGAAAAACAAATACTTTAAAAAGTGATCAGGAAGTTTAAAAAAAAAAAACTGATCATGATGTGTAGAATATTTTAAAAATCTTGCCAAAAAGATATTAGCTTTACTTTTATAAATCTTTGCATAAAATGAAAAATCAAGGCATACAAATTTCATTTAGTTTTATAGTTTTAAATACCATCTTTTGTTGCCTTTAAAAGATTTTTATTCATCCAAAAGTATTTTCAAGCTCCACTGTCCAATTTCTGACAAATGAAGGCATTTCCGAGTGTCTGAGCTAAGCACTGTCTTGGCTAAAGCGGAGTAAGAACTCAATCAGAGTCCTTGTGGGCCTCCCAGTCATGCCTTTCCGCAGGTATGGGACCTCATCTTTGTTGGTCATCACACCTGCTATGTCCAAATGTGCCCACTTGGGATGAGTCACAAATTCCTTCAGGAACGCTGCAGCTGTACATGCCCCTGCAGACCTGAAAGAGAAAGCCTACGTCAAGGTGCATGAACCATTTCATCAATTCTTGCCAAATAGGTTCTATGACCAGAGAGCAAGAATCAAAGTTACAGGGCCAATTATGAAGTTAACCAGTAACTTCAACAGTAAAGAAAAAATTTTGGATTCCTTTTTCCTATGTAACACCTTCCAATATTTTCCACATCTTTTCCTTATCATTTGTTTACATGTAAAATATAAGCAAATGTGAAAATGTGCGAAATACCAAGAACCTGTTGGAGAAATACCTTGAAAACTGTAGACATTAGAACTAAGCTTACAAGCAAAGGAAATCAGAGATTAAAATTTTGTGATTAAAAAGATGATAAAATTGAAAATAGTGATTCTTAGGCAACCAAGGATGATTGTAAAAATGAACATCTAGCTTGTTTTCCATACCGATATTTTCCAATGTTGTTAACATCAGCAAGCTGACAATCTATAACTTGTCTTGTATAATGTTCAAAGAGAGGCATCCTCCAAACACGATCCCCTGTTTCAATGCTGGCCTAAAAAGAAAAAGATATGACACTCTTAAGTTAGGTTCTAGAAAATTCATAGTGTGCTTGATACATGAAGGAAAGAGCTTTTCTATGAAACTACAAAACAAGTATCAGGACAATGGTCATTACTGATTATTTAAGAATTATAGCTGAGTGTGGTGGTACATGCCTGTAATCCCAGCTACTCAGGAGGCTGAAGCATGAGAAAATCAAAGTTTGCAGTCAGCCTTGGCAACTCAGGGAGACGCTGTCTCAAAAAGAAGCAGGTGGCGATGTGTGGCAAGAATAGCTCAATGGTGTAGCGCCACTTGCCACTTAGGTTCAATCCCCAGTACTGCGGTGATTATATAGCAATGTTATGAAAAATCCCACAGATCTGCAAGGAATTTGCTAAAGTCTCAATAATCTGGTATTCTGTGTTGGAAACAGGTTTCATAGGTTTGAGTAGAATGAAAGAGTTTCTGTGAGGCTAGTCACCTCAGTGTATTGGGGAAATGCACACCTGGACCCACTTTAATGTCCCTGACACAGGGTGACTTCCCTCCTGCCCTCCAATCCTTTCTTCTATTTCTGTCGTCTTCCTTCTCTCTTTCCTTTCATCATTAATTGAATTTCTGCACACCACTAAGTGTACTGAAATATTTGAGCCATCAAAGAGCCCACAGGCTAGCAGGAGAAATGTACACATAAACATTGTTTAACTCACTATTGCAAGAAGTCAAAGACTCTAAAGTGGAAAGTCAAGAAGCAGCAATATAAGCTATGGAGTCAGATCAGCCTGGGTAGGACATGAGCATGTATCAGATGTATCAGCCAAAGGATGAAAATGGCTGACTCCAAGAAAATAAGACTGTAAGTTGCTGACTATTTATTTATGACTACTTAAAAATCAAAGTTATGCACATATAACTTTAATTTTTAAAAAGTCCAATGTTGTGATGCCGTGATGAGAGGGAGGGACTGTGGATACATGGGAGGCCAGAGGAGAGGTTCTGGCCCAGCCTGGAAGGAGAAAACAGAGAGGAATTTTACAGAGGTTGAGAGGGCAGGCTTCACAAATGATGAGAAGACAGCTATGTAGGGGAAGCAGCAGAGGGTGAAAACTAAGTGTAGGACCTTAAGTCAACTTCACAGATATGTTCAGAGACATTTTGTGTTTTTTCCCATAATTAAGTTCCCCTTAACTACTTGCTAAAAGGATGAATGAGCTTTCAGATGGACTTTGGAACACAGGAAAGAGACAGAGCCATCAATGGAAAGATGCAGGTGGGAGCCATTGAAACAGATGAGCTTCCCCATAAGCATGAGAACATGTGGCCAAGGACTGAACACCAATCAGAAGTGGACAAAAAACAACACCTACCAAGGGAGACTGAAGCACCATGGTCAGAAGGAAACCAGAAGAGAAGATTATCACTGAAGCCAAGAGCTGGGTGTCTCCAAGAGGTCACAGGGTCACATGCTGCCTCGAGACAGGCTAGGTTAGATTAACAGGGTGCTAACAGGTGGACACTGATGGCGGTGACGGACTGTGTGTGCGCACGCATGTGCATGTATGCTGGTGGTGATGGGATGGGAGAAGACTGTGAGTCCACCTACACAACAGGCTGATCGACTCCACATGCATTCATCAGAAGACTGCTCTCATACCCTTTTCTACCTCAAGGATTCTCAACCTCAGCCATATTATTTGTAAGTTATTTTTAATTCATTCTGAGGCCACTGAAGAAGGTGGTGGTATTATGCCCTTCATTTAGGGACATCTGTAGAAAACATGAAGCCACTCAATTGAGTTTGTTGCTCTGGTCCATTTTCAATTCAAAGGCAAACCCACAGCATAAAAATCACTTTTAGCACAGGATGTGAACAACTATATCATTCAAGGGCTACAATAATTGATTAATCATCCCTATAATTTAGGTCTATGAATATTATACCCACCTCAAATAGTTTGTTCCACAGCCAGGATGAGTTGGTAAAGACCCCAGTGGCACCTGACCCCAAGGCTATGTCCATGGCACCTGTGAAAGACAACTCTCAGGTCAATTCCATTCTCCTGTCCAGACCAAGTGAGCTCCTCTGCCACTCAGAACAAAACTGTGAACTTAAACCCTACTAAATGGCTCTCTAATTGTAAGAAAGGTAAGCTTAGGAAATCAGTTCCATATTTAATATATTTTTATGTCTCTCAAACTAGAATTCACCTTTAATTATTAAGGAAAATGCAGAAAAGGAAAAGAAATACCATAAAATATCACCATGGATAATTGTTACCAACTTTGGTATTCCAGACTTTTTTTTTTAGTATTTAAGATCATACTATATGTGTACAAGAATGTGTTCATCCTTTTATGCTTTAATATTTATTCCTCTTTTATAAACAAATGTTTGAAAGTATCTTTAATGCTTCTGGAACAGTCCTTTGGATGGAGGTATCATAATTACATACTATAGGCACAGATGCATCTCTAACTTTTTAGTATTTTTAAACACATTAGTAAATATCTGGCTTTGCTGCCTTTTGTAAAAAACAGAAACAGTTGTTGTTATTGTATCATTTATTTCATCTAATTTCCTTCTCCAACAAACTTGTGTCCTATTGGCTGACTTCTTTTTAAAAATTAATTTACATTCTTAAAAAATCAAGTTGAAAACAAGCTTTCTGTTTTCTAGGTACACAACCAGGAACAGCAGCTTAGTGCTGCTCTCTTGGATGCTTAGCTCCAGCAGTCCCATTTGTTATTTGCCTGGTCCTGCCTGTAACTTCTGGGCCAGGGTATGTCTCTGATTCTGACCATAGACTCAGGGTCTAGCACACTGCTTGGCATAATGGAGCTCAGTTAGTAGCTATCAAAAGGAAAGAGCAATACTGTCTTTCAGAAATGGGACACCACATGGAAAGTCAAGGAACACAACACTGAGCCTGTCACTGCCAACACTAGGGCCCTGGAACATTAGAGGACATAAGCACTGGAGTTGGCAGAGGTTCCATAGTTTCACATCTATGAGCATCTGCTCTCTGCAATGTGAGGTTTGTCCAGGTATCCCCTTAATCCCTACCTGTGGCTTTGCATCAAACTGCTCATCAGCATTTCCCCCAAGGAAAACTGAAACTTCAAAATACTAGTATGTATGCTGCTTGACAAATTTTATTTAACTATATAGTAAAACTTCCCATTTTTTTATATTTCTTTGCAGTCAAGGTTAACAGTGGCTGCATGACATACACTGAGGGATCCCATATGCCTGCATGTGGAAAAATACTGGTACCTATCTCTGATTTAGAGAACCAAGTTAGACCCACATATCATTGTTGAGCTGGTGGCCCTCAGCAGTTCTGCACAGCACCACAAGGATTTAAACTGATTCCTTTCCAGGGAAAGCGGTAGTGCTTTTTTAGTATCGGGTTGCTCTGTGACACTGGGGTGTTGGATTGTACAATTTTTCCCATGAAGTTATGGCAAATGCCATTAGCTATTATTTAATAGTAAAGAACCATAAATTACAAACCACTATTTGAAAGTGATGGCCCATATAAATTCCTGTGATTCTACATGACATTGGGGTAAATTCAATTGGTCTGTGTCATTTGCTCCTTCAAGCTTCATCACTACCTCCCAGTCGCTTCGTAAATCTCTCTCTCCATTATGGCCATTGCCATTATCATCTACCACCTGAACTACAGTAATCACTTTTCAAAAAAAACAATAAATTTATTTTTGAAATTTTCAAATATATACAAAAGCAAGGAAAATAATATAACTGACACCTAAGTACCCATTACCCCACATCAACAATTATCAACTCCTGGCAAACTTGTTTCACCAGAACCCCACACCTAACATTATTTTGAAACCAACTGCAGATACTGTATCATTCATCCTTAACACACACCTATATCCACATCCACAAAACTCAACAACCACAACCCAGCCCATAGGCCTCACTGGTTGGCGCATTTCTCCTGGGGTCCTTCTACAGCCCATTCTTCACAGTGCATGCTGGGAAACCTTACAAGGTGCAGATCCAACCAAATCATCCCTGTACTTAGCCCTCCTCAGTAGCTTCCTGTTGCACTGACTCCCCCTGTAATATGCCACCTACCACAGCATCTGCCTCACAAGCCACACAGCATATACCTCGGCCTGAACACTGCTGCCCCCCAGCGCCCCACAACATGGCCTTTGTGCACGATGCACCCTCTGTTCACCTTTTCTCCACTCAGACCCCAGGCTCAAGTCACCCTTCTTAGGATAAGAGGCTCTGCACACGCTGACCTGATCAAATCCTCAAACCATATAGGCTCCCTCAGGCTTCCTTTAATTCCACTTCCTTGTGCTTGTTGCCTGCCACTTTGAGCCGTCAGTGTGATTGTCTAGTTACTGCACTGTTTCCACTAGACTACAGGCCTCACTTACGTTCTGCCCCATGGCTGCATCCTTAGCCATCAACACAGTCCCAGCACATAAGAGGTGTTAATGCCTGCTGACTGTGTCAACACCGTTCATATGGCACTGTGACAAGTGGTGCTTACTCTATGTCTATGCTTCATCTCTATGACGGGAGTGGGGGTTCACATTAGTCTTCAATACCATACTTTTCAAGTTAATGGTATTTTACAAATGTAGTCACTTGTCTCCAAAACATTTCTATCAACTTCATAAAAGTTTTTTATCCGTTTTTAAATTTCTCAGAAAAGATGAGCATTAACCTCAAACAAAAATGTAGTGCCTTCACTTAAAAAGAAAATGATAAGACATAAATATTTAACATGATAATTGGGATCATAGCTTCCTTCCAACAAAAACAGTAGGGGTCTGACCTGTTAAGGTGGCTGCGTTGATGATGAGTTTTGGATTAAAGGTATGTGCGTAACAGAGTGCATCAGCCAGGATGAGCCTCCCCTCAGCATCGGTGTTATCAACCTGCCAAGAGGGAGATCAAAAAAGGAGTGAGACATCGATGTTTTGGGCAGCACAACTCACAATAGCCAAACTGTGGAACCTACCTAGATGCCCTTCAATAGATGAGTGGATAAAGAAACTGTGGTACATATATACAATGGAGTATTACTCAGCAATAAAAGAGAATAAAATTATGGCATTTACAGGTAAATGGATGGAGTTAGAGGAAATCATGCTAAGTGAAGTAAGCCAATCCCAAAAAATCAAAGGCCAAATGTTTTCTCTGATAAGTGGATGTTAATCCATAATGAGGAGGGACATGGGATAAGTGGAAGCACTTTGGATTGGGCAAAGGTGGGGAGGGGAGGGGCCATGGGGATAGAAAAGATGGTGGAATGAGACAGACATCATTACCCTAGGCAGATGTATGATTGCACAAATGGTGGGACCCTACTTCGTGTACAACCAGAGAAGTGAAAATTTGTGCTCCATTTGTGTACAATGAGTCAGAAAATTCTACTGTCATGTATAACTGATTGGAACAAATAAACTTGGGCTGGGGATGTGGCTCAAGCAGTAAAGCGCTGGCCTGGCAAGCATGCAGCCCGGGTTCGATCCTCAGCACCACATACAAAGATGTTGTGTCCGCCGAAAACTAAAAAATAAATATTAAAATATTCTCTCTCTCTCTAAAAAAACAAATAAACTAAAAATTTTTTTAAAAAGGAGACTATAGGAGTAATGAATATAAAAACCAGGCAATTATACACCAGAATTGAATATAAAAGTGAGAAAAAGCTTGGATGACATGTCATCAAGATTCAAAAACAGGTTTGAGCTGGGCACCCTGGTACATGCACGCCTATAATTCCAGCTACTCAGAAGGTTGAGGGAGAGGGATTAAAAGTTGTAGGACTGCCTGGGAAACATAGTGAGACCCTATCTCAAAATAAAAAATAAAAAGGCTGGGGATGAGGCTCAGTGGTTAAATACTTCTGAGTTCAATCCCTACTACCATAAATAAATGAAATGAAAAAAGTAAAAAGGGCTGGGGATGGAGCTTAGTGGTATAGTACTTGCTTAGCATGTGTGAGGCTCTGGGTTTAATCCCCAGTACTGCAAAAGGAAAAAAAAAGTGTACTTATAATAGTGGAAACACCATTTAAGAGTGTTTTTCCTGCCTTGACTATTCCTAATATTATTCAGTCTAATCTGGAAAGCAAATAAAATTCATTAACCCCTGTATCACAGCTAGTAACTTAGGGCTGATGACATGGGAAGCTGAAATAAGTAGAAAAATGCCTTTCCATTTTACTAGCAACTGTTATAACTCATTTAATGAGGGGGAAAATAAAAAGATTTCTGAAAACAAATAGGCTAAGTACCTAAGAAAGATACAGCTAAGCAGCTCTGGATCTTCGGGCCGAGTCTCTTTGGCAACCCTTCCTAACTGTACTGCCTTCTTTTTAGTAGAAGCCCCACCATCATGGGCAGTGAGTGACAGCATGCAGGCCCACACCATGGGGACCTGCTGCTTGCTGCCAGGTCCCCACAGTGCAGAGCCCATGATGCAAGACAGTGTTTCCCACCTGAACCTTTAGAACTGAAAAATGTTTTCATGGCACAGATATACCCAGAAAATAGCCCACATTTTTACTGCTTTGCCAAACTCTGCAAGCCTGGCTACAGATTCATGGTAATTTGCGTGTACAGCATACAGGAAGTGAGAGGAATAATCAAGGCAGGAAAAACACTCTTAAAAATTCTCATTGAGAAATACAATGACTCTGCATGAAAAACTACTCTGCACGGAAGATACCACCCTCCCCACAGACGTGGGGCCCTGCTTCCAGTCACACTGCAGTTAGGTGGCCATAATGGGGTTCCCTAGAAACATGTTGGGGAATGGTGCACCCTCCAGTCACAAACCTGGATGGTCTTCCCATTCTTGGCTCTAACAACATCTCCAGGCTTGTTGGCCTTGCCACTGGGCATATTCTCACAAAGAGGAGCCAAACCTATTAGAAAAAATATTTGAGAGAATATGGTTATACTGGGTCCAAACACACCACCCATGGGACAGGAGGCCACTAGTGAGCCACCAGAAGCATGCCCACAGATGCCACCCTAACCAACCAAATTCCCTATCACCAATGACACCAATGATATATGTTCATCAACAGCAGGAAGTACATGCCACCTTTATAACATTCTTAGCACAGGCCTGACTTGATTTCAATGGAGAAAAAATAAGTGCAAACTATGGAAGATCATACCAGCCAAGACTCTTCAAAATTGCCAGTGCCATAAAAGAAAACAGGGCAGAAAGAGAATTCTTGACAGAGAAAACTAAAGAGACATGGCAACTCAATGCAATGTCGGATTTTTTTTTTATTAGCTCCTGGATTAATAAAAACTAAATATAAGCAAAATATACTTTTTTTAATTGGGACATTTGAATTAGATTATTATATTCACCCTTGGAAAAGGTAATAGTATTATCATTATATAGAATGTCCTTTTTCTTAGGTGTTGGGAGCTGCTCTGGAAAAACATGCCCTTAAGTCCTGAGCAAGAGATATCGAACAATTATCGGGCCCCGAAAAAACTTTACCACCACTGGGATACTGAGGAGTGGCTCCAGGAGTAGGCAGCACCTGGTGGGGTTGAGTTACATTCACCTGTTCCTTGGTAATCCTATCCCTTTGCCCTTTTTGGGATGGAATGTTCCATGGAACTTCCCCTTGTGTGTCCCCTATATAAGAAGAATTCCAATAGCTCTCTCTTTCGAGGAATCCCTAAGGTCACACAGCTGACCCGGATTTTGAAAAGGTACTTCTGTGTGTTTACATACTTTCTTTGCCGTTTTCTTAAGTTACTGGGAATAGCCAAATTTTGTGAACCCAGCATTAGGTCACCAACTCTGATAGATGCTAATAAATGGAGGCACAGCTTGGATTGTTTTAGGGTAGTTGATAAGATGTATAGGGTTAAAGGGTAGCCCTCTCTCATAAGCAGGTTTTTTATGACTGTGAAACTATTGTGGAATTTTTGTGTTTTGAAACATTTTAGATAAGAATTTTTGGATTTATGTACTGGGAATTAATATTTAGAGAATGAAAGGAGAGAAAATAAAATTGTTTTCATTATGGAACATTAAAATTCCAGATGTTTTCCGCTTCTAAAAAAGCAAAAGTGGTTTTTTTTTTTTAATTTTTGTTTTATTATTACTTTCTGGAATTGTTTGGGCAATTTAAATTAAACTAGTGGATCTGCTGAGCCTCTCTCATTACATCCTTACCAAGGATCAAATCAGGTGAGCTATGGCCCAACTGTTCAGCAGATACAGGACTCTGGCTACTGTTCCCTGTGGAGCCACCAGCTAGTTCTGCCCCTTTTGGGGCCTGGTCTAGCCAAATGCAGGCTGCTCTGGAGCCCGCTGGCACCAGCATCTGCCACTGGGACCCAGTTTGGGGGTTTGAAAATTTTTTATTTTTATTTTTTGGAGTGCTCGCAGGCTACAAGGAGGAGCTACAGGACGGGAACCACCCATAGCTCCCCGCCTCTCCAGAGCACTAGAGCTGGCGCGATTCCCAGAGGCGGGATCCCAAAGGCGGCTGCCTGGGACTCCGCCTGGGGCTCCGCAGCGGGATTGGAGGGATGCCCAGGCGGTTGCAAGGAGATTTGCAAGGACGAGGTACAAGCAGAGCAGCCCAGTGCAACACGGCCTGAAGGGACACAATGCTGACCTGGCTGCAACAAGGGTTCAAGGAGATGAGGACACCACTACTGCTGCCCAACAAGCTGCCGGCTCTCCCAGGAATCCCGGGTTCTGTTGGAACATCCCCAGGAGCCCCGATGAGGCGCTTCCCTGGAGAGATTCCAAGCGGGAAAACACAAACAGATCGGTCAAAATCCAAAAACCTGAGGAAATGCTGGGAGCAACACGTGGCTTTCCGGTAGAGTTGATGGCAGAGAAGGGACACATTACTGGTTTGTGACCCCACTTTAGAGATCCGTCAGAGTGCAATCTACTCGGAAGGTCTGGCGCTGGCTTCCCACGCTTGCCCGCCTGCCCGGGCGCAGCCATGCGCGCGCCTTCTCCCCGACGCAAAGCCCGCTCCAGCGCGGGGAACTCAAGCGGAAGACGCTGGCGCAGGCAATGGTCAAACGCTAGCTGGCCAGGGGCGCAGGCATGGCAGCGGCTGAACGCAGGGTCAGCCCGCTCCAGCGACTTTCACCGCGGGAGGAGATGCGGCCACGGGACCACAAAGATGCGGACAACCAAAGAGCCGTCATTACCTTCCCACAAACCCGACCAACTCTAGGCTTCCCTGGTTACTAAGGCAACCGCTCACGGGAAGGCCTTGTGCACGACGCAAGGCTATGCGCACATGCTGCCCAGGATGGCGAAAAACAACCAGGACTGCTGGGGTCAGAAAAACAATGCATGAAATAAAACCCCCAAAATTTCAGGCAAACTAAACTCTCCAGCCACAAGGCCAGGGTAACATGGCGGATAAGTCCCACCTCCCACATTTTTCATAGGTTTCCCATTTGTCCTTCCACTGTCAGGCAAGCAGGGCTTCTGGGCCAGCCTCCCAATGACTAACCTGTAGTTTCTAACTAACCTATAATTGCTAACTTTCTGCAGGCTAGTGAACGGAGCTGCAGAGCCTGAATGTTACTTAAAAATGTCCACTTGTCAATACTAACGAAAGATTTCTTTTTCACACAAAATATAGTTCAACAGGTTTCTATGTTGCTGCCCTAATCCTAATGTGTTCTCAAAGCTAAATAATCTTGATTTTATCCCATGTTCCCTTAGAAATTCTTTATGGTTATATTATTAAAGAAAATTACAGAAATAATGTAACACTTATAACAGATAAAAGATACATATGCTTGCTTATGTTTTACTTTTGGACACTGTGAGGATGCATTTTGCTCATCACAGGAACAAGGCCGGCAACTTAAAGACAATTTTCTCACAATGTTCCCGTGATGGCCAAGAAATCCTTCCTTTTCAATTCTAATTATGTAATTTAAAAAATAAGTAAAATATAAGCAAGGATCTTATTTCAGCTACATCACGTGATGTCACATGTAAGAGTACACTCCTAGTTAAAAATAATTTAAAATGGATCCAAATATTTTTAAGAACCATGATTTCATAAGATAATTACTAAACATTTTATTCTTAATATATTTTTCCAGTTACTTAAATAATCTATACTCTCTAATCCATAGGATAATTAAAATATGTCTATTTGTTTAATGTGTCCATTTGCTTCCAAATGTTTTTCAATAGAAAACACATAATTTATACCTTTTATATATGCATTTATCTGATACTCTGCCGTTTATAGTTACAGATAGAGATAATACAATCATCAAGTAATCTCTAATTCTCAAATTATTGTACAAACTTTTATAAGATGATAAACAGATACGATTCTGTCAACAGAAATGTCCAAGGGCTTTAACTATATTTTCATTGAGATATTTCTTCTCATGAATGTACAATAATTTGTTTACTAAGATTTATAGAAATTGTTCCAAGGTATAACCAAAGAATTCTAGAAAAGGAAAAGAAGATGCTTCAACAGAAAGGAAACAGTTTGGAGGAAAAAAGAAATCATGTTTGGATAAAATAAAAGAGTCATTATATGTTTAAGACTTTTATGGTAAAAAAGATTTCCTTAATAAAGGAATCTTTACATGATCATCTAGAAAGTGAGATAAAAGGCCAAAGTAATCAGAAGACAGACTTGTATGCAGCTGGATTGACTATAAATATATAAATGATGTTTTACGATGTTTCAGGCCTTACCCCACCCTGATTTTATTATACTGAGATGAATCAAAATTTTGCCCATATATTGACATGATAAAAACCTATTGAAACGCTGAAGTTGAGTTATTTTTATTAAATAAAGTCATTGTTTACCTAGTAATTCTTACTGTTTGAGACAGTGACCTAAAGCCAAGGTTCAAACAACTGAGGATCCATCCAGAGATGTCAGCCCTAACTCTTCCCATCAAGAAGAAACTTCAAAGGATGAGGGAAAAGAAAATGGCCCAGAGAGACCCAACAGTGAAGCTACCCTCATGGAAGATGTTGAAAAATCTGAGGCTGCAGACTGAGTGGATGATCCAGCAGCAAGGAAGAACTAAGTCTCCAGCTATGATGCTTGCAGCAATACTAGCTCTGTTGAGCTGCCAGGCAACTGGGACACAGGGAGAAACTTATTAGACATATTTCTAGATCCACCTTTAGAACACTCAGAGGTGTGTACTGGAGAATCCATCCCAGTATTTACTAATGACTCATACATGATGGGAGGATTTACAGATACCCATATTACTCCCATCCATGGGAATGGAGTTAATTATTCTGGCTATAGTGGTCAGCTACCTATGTGGTGATCCCGCAATAAACGATAAACGTGCTGCCTGTCTAAAAGTGTCCTTTGAGGAAAAGACAGCAGTTGGAGGGACTAGACTAGCTAATCGTACTGGCCTTGGGGATTCAAAGCCATATATTAGAACAGTTATTAAAATGGGACTGTCTAATAACAAGCCAATCATTTCAGCAGAACATCCACTAATATACCTCACTGTCCTAACTATTCTGCAATAGAAATTGGCACATTCCCTAAATGGATGGATTGTATAAATACCTTGCCAATACAGCATAAGGTATCTAGAAATAGTGGTATATTTTAGACTGGTCTCCTAGGATTGACAAAAAACAATTACACAAGGGCGCTGCCATGACCCCTGAAAGATTTGTTAGTAACACCTTGACCTTTAGCAAAGGTGGTATCAAGAAAGATGTTTGGTGTTTGATTGCAGCCTCAGAATTTTTACATTTTACTGACAAGCATTTACCTGACCTTGTAGGCAGAAATTATATGGAAGGTTCTTGTTATGGCTTGCAAGCCTGTTCAATCCCTTTATGTTTTAATTACTAGAGATGTGAAAGTCGAAAGATGATAAATATCTTGTAGCGATATTTAACTAATTGTATCATCAGATATAATAGAAGGAAGGGAACACTGATGCTTCACCAGCCCTCTGTTGTCTTATTGCCAGCTAGAATCTCAGGGCCATGGTTTGCTGACGCTGGTTTTCAAGTCTTACAACAAATATATGCCCAGTTGATTAGACCTCAGCTAGCTCTTGTACTTGTAATTTGAGGGGTGGCTGGCTTAGTTTCATTTATTGCTTCCACGGTCACATCTTGGGTGGCCATATCTCAAAATATTCAGCATGCAGATTTTCTTAATATTTTTGGCTCAGAACACTTCCAAAGCTCTTCATATCAGATCAATATTGATGAAATAATTGAAACTAAGATAAATGTTTAGAAGCTACTGTCATAAATATTGGTAATGAGCTTTCTACTTTAAAGTTCAAGGAAAGATTAAAATGTCATGCCAATTATAAATATGCGTGTGTTACTGCTGCCAAGTACAATGCTTCCCAATGGGATTAGGAGAAAGTCAAAAACCATTTATTAGGTATTTGGCTGAACAATAATAACCACTTGGATCTTTTGGAGTTATATCATCATATTCAAGATATACAAAAAAGTAAGATTGATTTTTTTTTTTTTTGGATCCTACCTCTAGCTGATCAAATACTTCAAGAGTTAAATGGTTTTAATCCTGGAAACATACTAAAACATTCTGCATGGTATATCATTGTACTGTTCTCTTTGCTATTAATCCTGCCTTGTATTGTAATCATAGGATGTCATGCCTTCAGATCAAGAATTCAAGACCTTGTGATAGCAACTCATCACCTATTTTTTCAAAGAAAGGGAGCCCCTCTGGAAATTCACACCCTCAAGTCCTGAGCAAGAGATACTGAACAATTATTGTGCCCCCTACCTCCTCTTGGATAATGAGGCATTACCCAGTAGGGTTGAGTTACGCTCACCTGTTCCTTTGTAATCCTACCCCTCTGCCCTTTTTGGGATGGGATGTTCCATGGAACCTCCCCTGTGTGTCCCCTATATAAGAATAAAGAATTCAGTAGCTCTCTTTTTCCATGGACCACTAAGGTCACAGGGCCATTCCTGGATTTTGAAAAGATACTTCTGTGTGTTTGCATGTTTTCTTAAGTTATTGGAATAGCTGGATTTTGTGAACCCAGCATTAGGTCACCAGCTCTGATGAGACATGCTAAAATATTCAGCACACATCAAAAAAAAAAAAAAAAAAAAAAAAAACACACATGTACGTCAGACACACTTGCATTCTACCTTCTCCATGCAATGGATGAGACACTGGCTAAGTCAGGTAACCTGAGCCTTCCCCCCTTCTTCTCAAAACTTGGTAATAGTAATGCTACACACTCTCAGCATCACCGACTGTGGAAGCTGGCATTCTGTAATGCTAAGAGGTGCCATTGTACTAAATGCTTTTTCTGTACCAGGCAATTTCTGTGTATCAGGCATTTAATTGGCCCCAATCCTATGAGACCATCCATAAATGAGCCAAGAGTGCCCTTTGACCTGACTACTGAGCAGTTTCCACTGGAGTAAACCACAAACTTGATATACATGCCCCTGACTGCTAACCACTTTTTGCAGAAGTAAAATCAATTCCAGTTACAGCTATTAGTTGCAAAATACATTTAGCTGAATCAGCTTGGACATAAAACACTTAGCTTTTCATCAAGCTATTTAAAACTTGTCTCTTGATCTTTTCAGGTCAGAGAAAGCCATGTTTGTTATCTCAGTTCAAGCATCTGCTGGGTTTCAGAATCTCAGAGATACAATCCCTTGCCCCACTCACCTATGATATTAATAGGCAAATTGAGCTTCGCAGCAGACACAATGGCTGAACAAATTGTGGCAGCTCCTCCCATGTCAGCCCTCATGAGGTCCATGCTTGCAGAAGGCTTGATGGAGATGCCACCACTGTGAAGGAAAAGGACAGCTGCAACATAACCATATAAAAGCACCACACACCTGCCAAAGAAACTCATATTTCTCAACTTAGAATCTCAATGTTGGATTATTTTAATGTTGAAGACTTTATAAAAGATACAAAATAATTCTAGATAGGTATCATAGCTCAATTTATTTATATTTGAGTGAAATTTAAGCAGTACTACTAGAAATGTTTCCATATCATAATATCAGTGCTATCTGTTTCATCTCATTGTTATATTTTGAATAGAAGGTATCCCCCCAAAGTTCCTGTGTTAATGTAGGAATATTCAGAGGTAAAATGACAGGATTACAAGAGCTGTAACCTAATCAGTCCATCCTACTTTGAATGGACTGGGTAGTGATTGTAAGCATGTTGGATGTTGCTGGAGAAGGTAGGTCACTGGGGAGTGTCCTGGGAAGGTCGGTCTTTCCAGTGGCCCCGTCTCTTCCCTCTCTCTGCTTCTGGGCCACCATGTCCTGAGCAGCTTCCTTCCACTACAGCCTTCTGCCATGATGTTCCACCTTATGGGGGACCCAGAGTAATGGAGTCCACTGACCATGGACTAACCTCTGAAATCATGAGCCAAAAATAACTTTTCCTCTTCTAGATTGTTCTTGTCAGATATATTGATCATGGTGACACAAACCTGACTAACACTCATTAACTGCTGATACTTATAAAGATTGTCTTTTCAGCAGATTTTATGAATGGATCAACTTATCAAACCAAAGTTCACAGGCTATTAAAGAAAGCTAACAAGTTCAGATAGGACTGGGAGCATTCTTCTCAAACCCACATGACAGGGGTATAATCTTGCCATCTGACACCTGTACAGGTGTGTTCTAGCAAGGCAGCCTTCTTTTTTTTTTTTTAACAGGACCTATGTGAAGAAATTTTACAATCTAAGAAAGGATTTATAAGAATCTGAATAAATGGAGGAATGTCTTTAATGAAATGACAATATTATCCAATTGTCAAATTCCCCCAAATTAATTTATAAATTCAATGTGTTACCCCCAAATTCCAGTTGAATTATTATCTTTTTTTTAATATTGGGGATTGAACCCAGGGATGCTTAACCACTGAGCAACATCCCCAGCCTTTTTTATATTTTATTTTGAGACAGGATCTTGCTAAGTTGCTTAGAGCCTTGCTAAGTTTCTGAGGCTGGCTTTGAACTTGAGACCCTCCTGCCTCAGCCTCCTGAGCTGCTGGTATTTTTTTTAAACAACCCAATAAACTTTTTCTTTTTTCTTTTTTTTATTGGTTGTTCAAAACATTAGCAAGGCAGCCTTCTAACCAACCAGTGACTGACTTCTGCTTCCCATCTTGTGAAGCAACTTGTTCCACAAGCCACGCCCACAGCCAGGGCCTTCAACTTCTGCCATCTACTGACTTGTCTTGGTGACTCTTTGGAGAAGTTTCTATTCCCTTCTCTGAGGTCTGCCTTGCTTGGAAATTAGGTACTCATTCTCACTTACCTCAGAAACACTTGCTAATGAGATGGTTTGCATTTACACTTCCTTCCACCTGCCACTCTTAGCCCAAGGTGTTTTCTGGGAGCTTTGCTTCCTATGCCTAGACTAGTCAAAAAGTAGCCACCAACCAAGGATCAGGACTCATCTTTGCTATCTTTTCAAAATCATCCTAGATTTCATTCAAGCCTACTCAAAGCTACAGGAATCAAGATGCTTAGTCACAGGGTACCAGTGACCAGAGGCAGGGTCCAGAGATAGATCTCAAACTACATAATTAACTGATTTTGTCCTAAGGTGCTCAGGTACTCCCATGTCTATGATGGAATGGTAGTTCATGTACTGTTAACAAACTGTGCCGAAATAAATGACTATATAGTGAGGGCAGGCAGGTGGGGGAGGAGAACTTAGGCATTTTTTCACCATATACAGAAATTCAAAGTGGATCATAGCCTAAAAAGCGAAAATTGACTTAAAAACTATAATGTCTTATAGACGAAAAAAATAGATTTTGGCATAGGCAATACTGTTTTAGAGCAAAAAAAAAAGCATGAACTACAAAAAACTGAACATATACTTCATCAAATCAAAACTTGTTCTTCTTAAGATATTACTAAAAAAAATGAAAATGCAAAGTTCAGACTGGGAAAAAAATATTCCTAACCAAATAACATCTGATAAAAGACTTATATTCAGAATATATATATATATATATATACTTTTTTAAAAACTTACAACTTTTAAGGAAAATACCCTATCAAAAAGGGTAAAAGATTTAAATACCTCACTAAAGAAGATAGATCGATGGTCAAAAAAACAAGTCAAGACATGCTCAACATCATCAATCATTACAGAAATGCAAAGTAAACCTCAAAGAAGTATCACTGCATCCCCTGTGGCAGCGTCACAGTGGAACGATGGATCATGTCAAGAAGGGAAAGGAGCAGAAGTTCTATGTGAGTCCTGTCAGCTGAGGACAGGAATGCAAACGGGAATGACCACTTTGGTCATAGGAAAGAATGTCCTTTGAACCTGAACCTCATTGGAGAAAGGAAAACATGTGGCTACACAAAAGCTTTCAGATGATCTTGGCTTTATTCCCAATAGCCTAAAACTGGAAACAACTCAAATTTCCATCAACAGATAAATGGATACGCAAATTTGGGTATTTCACTACACAGCAATGAAAAGGAACAAACTACTGATGTGACTGATGAAATGGATAAATACTGAAGACATTGGGCTGAGACAGCATGGAGGCCATCTATATAATTTTCTGGAACAGGCAAAACTAATCTACAATAACACAGAAAGATAACTGGCAGCCTGGATCAGGGAGGGAGGGAATAACTGCAGAAGCATAAGAGAGTTTGGGGGTGAAGGGAATGTTTTATCTTCTCAGTATTGGTCCCTGTTGGATTCATCTGTTAAAGCTCACTTAGCCAAACACTTAGAGGGTGAATTTTACTGCATATATACTGTCATTCCCTCTGCCAGAAACCTTTTTGAGGCCCAGAATAACTCAGATCCTGCCTAAGTATCCAGCGCATCTCACCCATCTTCCCAACCTGCTCTGGTGCAGAGCCACCAGACATTCTTGCAGTACCCAGAGTTGACACTACTTCCTACTCTGCAGCCTTCCCATGTTCCCCTGCCCTAACACTCATCCCTAGTTCCTACTGAACTAATTCCTCCTGGTCTTTCACATCTTAAGTTAAATCTGATGCTTCTGCAAGGAAGACTTCTCTAAACCAAAGGAATATTTGCTGAATATTTTTAGCAAAAAATACAAATATGGATTTAAATTAACAATAAATCTCACCCTGAACATAAATATCTCCCTAAAACTATTAACACTTGATAGTATAAAACCACTACAATTAGCAAGATTTTTTTTTTTTTCTTGGTACTGGGGATTGAACCCAGGGGTGCTTTACCACTGAGCTACATCCCCAGCCTTTTAAAAAAAATTTTATTTTGAGACAGGGTTTCTTCCAATTTTATTTGCTGTCGTGTTTTATATATACTTTAGTATATATAAAATGGTGTAGCATTTACATACACCATAAATATATATACATATCTTGAAATCTTTTTATGATGGGCTACACAATGAAAATCATTTGGAGACCAATGTTTAAAGAAGAGAAGTTGAAGCTGGAGGTGAGTTAGTAGTAGAGTATATGCTTAGCACATAAGAGGCTCTGGGTTTGACTTCAACACCAAAGGAAATGAAAATACAAAAACAAAAGAGAGAACAGAACATTCATGTTTTACATGGAGTTTCTGAATGGTTGCAAAAATGTACTAGGGAATTTGTTTGTTGTTGTTCTTCAGCAACATTCTCCAAAGCAGTTTCCCTGGAACATGACTTCCAGAATCAAGATTCTTACAAAAGAAAATTCAGAAAATGTGACATTCTGTGCCCTGAGAAGTTCTGTAGCTAAAGAAAATAAAAACAAACCTCATTTGGTTTATTTAACCTAGTTTTCTGGCCAGCTCACTCTTTTTATGCTTCACAGTCACCAGCATCCCTGACAGTCATATTCTGTGGCAGATGATTCCCATAGGAAATACCAAATACACCGTCTTCTCTAATTCAGCCCCTTATTGGCTGGAATAACCCGAGGTGGCTTCCACTTCTAAGGAAATTATGGTTCAGTCAGATTAATGGGAGTGGACTGTCCTGTAGCAGGAAGCAACTGAAGCAAGCCAAGGGAAGGCAGGGGATGGCAGCGGCAGCCGCACTGTCTGTGCAGTAAGCCTTGCCAGGGAGAATCAGAGTGGGACACAGAGATTTGAGGATATTTTAAAGAGAGACCTGATTTTCACTTCTGGCTCTAATTCTTAGTTATGGGTCTCTGAACAAATTACTTAATATCTCTGAGTCACAGTTCCCCTATAAGCTGGCTACTGTAGAATGTCCATGATAGCCAGCTTATAGGGGTAAGACTCAGCCAATATATGTAAAATGCCTATGTCTAACACACATGAGCATTTCATAACTGGGAGTGTAATATGACCAAATACCATGCTTATGAATCAAATTAAGCACTAAAAAGTGCACACAAAACATTCACCAAAATAAAAAGCTCAGATACCCCCCTCAAGTACCTGTCAAAAGTGATTCCCTTCCCAACGAATACCAGGGGCGGCTCCCCCGCGTCGGGGCTGCCTTTGTAGTGGATTTCCAAGAAGACTGGAGGCTCGTCGGACCCTTTGGCTACACTTAGGAATGAACCCATTTCCTGTTCCTCAATCCAAGACTTGGGTCTATAGGGTAGAAAGGGGATAAAAGCACATATACGGTTACCTTTATTTCAAAATAATTCAGAAAAGCTCAAAAGCATGTTTAAAAGTGTAATATATAAGCTCTTAAAGGATCACATGGGGAAGGAGGTATGGTTCAGGGGTAGAGCACTCGCTCCCAAGCATGAGGCCCTGAGTTCAGGGAAAACAAATCACACAGTAAGGCTTTGATTATCACATCTGATCATTTGTTTCCTGTATATTCTTGGGCAAGTCACTTGATTCTGAGTCAATTTGCTCATCTACATGAAGTTAAGGATTCCTCAATCAAAAGACTTTAGCATTCTTAGGAGAATTTATACATGATAACTAATACAGTTTAGGTAATAATGTAAAGTCAATAAATAAAAAAGCTCCCCCAACCTACTCAGATGTTTCTAAAGATTTAATTTATAAAAGATGAGACTTGGGGCTGGGGATGTGGCTAAAATGGTAGCGCGCTCGCCTGGCATGCGTGCGGCCCGGGTTCGATCCTCAGCACCACATACAATAAAACGAAGATGTGTGTCCGCCGAGAACTAAGAAAAAATAAATAAATGTTAAAATTCTCTCTCTGTCCCCCTCTCTCTCTCTCTCTCTAAAAAAAAATAATAAATAAATAATAAAATAAAAGATGAGACTAGCAAGGCCCTGAGACCACAAGGGTGCATAAAAAGAGCTAAGATGCTCATTATTTTTGGTATTTCTAAAACTGCCCCCTCCCCAAATCAACCAACTAACAAAAACCTAACAAAGCTATACTACTCTTCCTGGAGTAAAATAACCTACTTATTTGGTCTTTTAGAAATGCTGGAGTTCTCTTTTCAACAATGTCACACTATTTCTCACAGCTGTAACTGTCATTTGAGATGTCTCTAAAGTAGGAAAATAAGTTAATTCTTATTTAATTAGCACAGGATTGATGAGACTAATGAAATAGAAACATTTCTCAGTACAAACTAGAAAATTGACACCATATTGCCACTTTCTATGCTAAAGGTACAAAGGACTTTGTGTTGATTTCTGGCCACAGTAACGAGGCTTCCACTGCCACAGACAAACCAGCAACAATTCTTTCCAAGGAATATTCCGGCACTTGCCCAACCATTTGTCAGAAGTATAAAACTAGGATTGCCAAAAATGTCAAAGGAAAAATAATTTTTTAAAAATAAAATAAACGTGTCAAAAGAAACAAGGCTGTACCATAAAGGCATGTTAGTCATAAACTCAGGACTTGATGTTTCATTAAGTCCGGCCCTTCTGGAAGAATTGTCTTCTTTGTTTCTTTAATGGAGATGCACCTACACTGGACAAGGTGTGGTGCAGCTATGTCTCAGTTTAATGAGTCATTTGCCACCCACACATGCATCCTGATCAACTCTTGCCTTTGCTCATCCATAAGCCTTGCTATTCCCAAGGGGCCACGGTTCACCTGCTTCCCCACCTGAAATGCCCAGCCCCATTCTTGTTGTTAACTCCTGAGCAACCATCAGGGCTCTGCTTAGGCTACATGTTCTTCCACAGGCCTCCCCGTCCTCCCTTCCCCAACCTGGTCCTTCCAATGAGATCCTCCCTTCTTTGAGGACAAGGAGCACCACTGTGCACTCATTTGCCAAATTCCCTGGCACGGTGGAGGTGCTGTCACTGATGTGTGGTAGCATCACCAGTATTTTTTGACATGAAGTACGTCTGGTGTCTTCTCTTGTAAGACAAGGAACAGTCTGCCACAACCCCTCTACAGAGGTTACGTACTGCGGCAGGTTAAACTTATAAAGGTTCTAGCAAGCTCTAAGTCCTGGGCTTTAACATTTTCTTTCTTTTTAACATATTTTTTTTAGTTGGACACAAAACCTTTATTTTGTTTTTTTGTGTGCTGAGGATCGAACCTTTATTTCAAAATAATTTAGAAAAGCTCAAAAGTATGTTTAAAAGTGTAATATATAAGCTCTTAAAGTACCATATGGGGCAGGATGTCACACATGTTAGGCAGCCTGTCTACCACTGAGCCATAACCTCAGCCCTACAATGTTTTCTTCACTGTCTAGACCATAGGGACTTTCCTGAAAAAGATGAATTCTGATCACAATTAACTACTGAAGAATTCTTTTAAACCTGAGAAACTACTTTGATAGTGAAGAATTCTTTAAACAAAGCAAATATCTGTCAGTTTATTTTAATCATAAATCCCCAAACACTCAAACTTGGGCTGCATACAGGGCTGTGGGGAGATTCCAGGAGATTCCAGAAGCTGGGGGAGCTGGACGTTAATAGCCCAGCGCTGACCATGGCTCTCAGCAGGCCTGGGAGCACCATCCTGCAGTCCAGCTAAGGGACTCCACGAGACACAAATTCTCATTCAATAACAAGTAAGGAATAATACATTCTTCACTTGTGTCAAAAAGTAAAGATAGGAAGAACTCACCAAAACAAGAAAGTAAATACGTATGTTCCTCAAAAAGTTAATCAGAGTTACCATTTGGTCCAGAGATTACATTTTTGCTACAGACCCAAGAGAAATTAAACAAGTCCACACAGAAACTTGTTCACAATGATCAGATTGTACCCAAAAGGTGGAAATAACCTCCAAAGTCTGTCAACTGATGGCTTCAGGGGACAGGGAAATGAAGAGTGATTGCTAATGGTAAAGGGTTTCCTCGGGGGTCATAAAAGTGTTCTTGACTTAGTCATGGTAGCCCACTCTGAATATACTACGAATCACTATCACTTTATGTGGCACGTGAATTCTGTCTAAACAAAGCTGATACAAAACGTGGACACCTCGACATGAGTAGGAAGTCGCAGCACTCTCTCACAGGCAAGGAAAGACAGACACAAGGAACCTCAAATGAGCCCGTCCCAGCTTGTGGGGCTGCTGGTGGTTATCTGGCCTCTATGGTCTTCAGTTATTCCTCTGAATGGAGAGGGAGCTGGATTTAGGATCTCAAAGGCTCCTGCGTGTAGCATCCCAAAGTCTACGATGTAATCCTGAATTACCTGATGTGGACCTCTGTTTTACTACTAGCACTTCTGAGATTCTTCTCAATAATCTCGGCAAATCTGGTTGGTGTCATCTCATTGGCTGGAGTTTCCATCAGCTGGCGGGCCAAGTTCTGCCCAGAAGCAAAGAGGACTCCTTTCTGCCAGGCCTCCTCATCCCCACTGCAGAAAAAAGCAGAGCTGCTGGTCAATGACCCACAACACTGACCTGTGGCCAGGAGAGGCTCTTACTATCCCACAACAAACAAGAGGAGGACAACAGATGGAAACTGGCTGACACACAGGACCTGGTCTGCTCTCTGTGACGTGACCCAGGCAGCTGGCGGTGCAGTGAAGAGCTAGAGGACAGGCCCTGGTGAAGGCCTGGGGACACTTGGCCGGGCAGTCCACTTCAGAATCCTCCCTAAACAGAAAGGGGCTGCCCAGATGGGTCTTTGAAGCTAAAAATCTACCACAGAAACTGAGGGAGGGGCTTTCTGTTTGGTTCTCCTTCCCTGCATTGCAGATAGCGCAGTCCCAAGTGCTAATCACCAAGCAGGCAAAGCAACCGCCTGGACGTGGAACTGAGGCTCTGCCGCCTTCTTTTACCTGGGTCAGGGCTCTAAATCCCAACAAAGTCCCCAATAGTAAGGATCAGCTTTAGAAAAGTACACACGTGGGCCCTTGGTTCATGATCCTAGAGCTCTTCTTGTGCACAAGAGCTAACAGTGTGGAGATGGGTAAAAGAACAGTTGATAGCTCAGTGGGTCACCATGCGTTACATATGACACACTTCACACTTTGTCTCTGGGTTAAGAGTACAACTCCCCAGAGATTTCAACTGCTTAACCGAGGTCACTGTGAGTTAAGTGGCAGAGCCAGGACTCCAACCAGGCTGACCACTACAGAGCCCTTTCTCCAGCACCAGCTGTGTCAGGGTCACCCCTGCCCTCACGGCTCCCCATACCTAAGGTCTCTGATCTTCTCTCCCAGCAGTGACCTTGTCTCCCAGGTTCTAAGACTGAAATGCAAGAGGTGCTCAATGATCCACTGAGCCACCCCCGTGCCAGACCACAGGGCCAAAAACCAGTTCCCTTCACCCACGTAGCTCTGGCATCAGTCCAATGCAGGCGGATGCCAACTCAATGGAAATGATCTGGACTGAAACCCACTGGGACACGTCTGCATGTCGTTCCTTCCTCCCACTCCCCTACATTACAGATTTCCAGTGTCCAGCAAGCGTGGAGGAGCACATGACAAAGGCTACAGCAGAGCCTGGGGACAGTTATCTATCACACATTAAAATGGCTGGGGCCATGGGAAGGTTAGGGACAGAGCACACAGCAGCGCCGGCCACTGAGAAGCAGGCGGCTCCCGTCCAAAAGACCACACTGTAGGACACCGGACAGCACCACCGCGCCTCGGTTTCCCTCCCTCACCTTCCGTGGAGCTTCGCGGACACTGCCATCTTCTTTTTCTGCTTTAGGTCATCGTATTCATAGAGACCCAGCACCGCTCCTTCTGCCGCCGCCTGAGCATCTCCACAGGGATCCACCTCCACAGAGGAGAGCTCCAGGTCCTGAATCTGCCTGCAGCCAGCTGCAGAAGGACAGAGGAACCGGGGAACGGAAGTCAGCGAGACAGTGTGTGGGCAGTGTGCTGAGGAAGCACCGGGCTTCCAACCCCAGTGTGACAACTCTAGTCCTCCATTTCCTCCTCTTAAAACGAGGCCGGGGCACACCTCACAGGCAGTGCCGAGCACAGGCCCTCAGATCACCAGGGCTCCTCACACGGGGAGACCCCTCAGAGAGAAGCAGCAGTACCAGGGTCATTTCTGACCACCAGTGCTTCTGGACAAAGAGTTTCCCAACCACCAGGGCCTCCCCAGTTAAGAGGAACAGAGAAAAGATGACCATGAGATTGCATCTGAGCAAAGTCCATTATTAACACAGCATTTTATTAAGATCGTGTTAGCAAAAACTCTCATATAAAAATTATGAGAACCCTTAACATGAACTTTGAAAGTAAGTTTAACAAGCATTTATGATACACACAGGGCCAGGTGTTAATCAAGCCCATTCCTGCTGCTTCAGCACAGATCTCAAAGACCTCAGCCACAGTCTCTGAGGTGAAGGCTCTCACCTCTGCTCAACTGAGGTGACTCAACAGCGTCCACCTCAACTCTTTCAAGCCATCCACCCGACAAACTGGGACCAGCACACAGCTTTTGAGAGTGATGAATAAGCACCCCACATTCTGCTCCCATATTCTCCGAGTTGTACATATATGACTCGCTGTTACTTAAAAGATGGGCAACACCAGGGGAGAATTACAAAGAGGAAAAAAAATCCACATGCCGAAATTTCTGGTAAAATACAGTTCTAAGGCCAATCCTATAAAAGTGAACAGATGATAGTAAAACCTCCAATATTAAGTATTTGAGAAATATTAACTATGGAGAATTATTAACAACAAAAATTTCATAAGCTAACCTCTATATCCTTCTTAGAGGCAAACATTCAAAAAATGGAAATTGAGTTTGTTAAGGTAAATTACTTCTGTGCAAATGTGATGAGGGTAGAGATGGCGAAAGGACAAAAGAAGAAGACAGTCTTAAAGAGCGGACTCGAGAACCTTGACCAGTATTAAACTTAAAAAGTAAAGTAACCTGCGACAGCAACTCTGATGTTTTCTTTGCCTTCATGCCAGTTCTCCTGGTCATCGACGCCAGCTGACCTTTTGCCTAGGCCGACTACCACCACGCTGGGGAAGTCCTGTTCCACAGAAACACACCATCAGCCACTGTGTTTCTTGAAAGTGCTCATTTCCAGCAGAGAGACTCACTGAGCTCCCACACTATCACTTTATGCTTGGCACCTTTTACAAGGTGTGTCTGATAGAGTAAGGATAATCCTGCAAACAATTCTATGTAAGACAGAGCCATGCTGGACAAAGCCTTCAGACTGAGGAACACAAGACCGGCAGTAGAGAGTGACACGCCTCTTTATAATCTTAAATGATAGTTCTGCTTAACGTTGGAATAAAACTATATAATCCAACACAAAATTCTTAGCATGACTGGGCAGCTACGGTACAAGGCACCCAGAGGTGATCTTACTGAGGGTTGACAAGGCACATCATCATCATCTCATACCTGATGCAGACCATAAAAGGTTCGGGTTTTGCCTGCCTTCAGAGGTGGTCCAGATCTAAACCAAAAAGAAATAATTGTTTTGGAAATTTTCAGTTTGCTCTGTTTGCCTGGAAAGTAATATATACATACCTTTAGTATTATCATAATATTCTGCTAACTGCTTTTGTGGACGTTGTTTCATTTGTACTTTTACAGAACGTTCTCAGCTCGGATTTCCTAGATGCAGTACTTCTAACTCTAGCTCAAAAACTGTAGCAAACTTTCAGATTAGAGTTAACACAAATTTACTTAAAGCAATGGAAGCAATGCTGGCCCCACTGCACAGGGGATCTAAGCACTGGATGTGAGCACTGGATGATGGCTGGACTGAAAGACTCTCCAACCTTTCTACTAAACGACACAGCACACCAACACAACACCATGGTACCAGAGTGGCTGACTTGACAGCAGTGTGCCTGGTTTAGAGGATGTCTACAGATGGGAGACAGGGCAGTTTCTTATAAAAGGAATACTAAAGTACAGCCAGGGGCATGAGAAGTGCTGTGGTTCGACAGTCAGGAGGTCAGGGAGATCTGTACTATAGCAGTTGGCTTTTGGATTAATGACTTAAGCACATGAGAAGGTTCTGGCTACTGGTGAAGGACTAATTAGCTAAGAGGAGCTGCAGATTCTGTAACACATCCATTAATTAATTATTATACTGCATCTAGTAGATTCAAACAGGCTATCTATAATCTGAATAGTATGAAGCTGCAGTGGCTTTTAATGACACTTCTGTTTTTGCCAAAAGGAACCAGCAGCTCCAATGTCTCTCTAGTTCCTGTAGAGCCTAGCTAATCTAAGAGTAGTGGGAATCCCAGGCCCCTCCCAGACTTACTGAATTACAGTCTGCATTCTTACTACATCTTTGGGAAATCCAGTTGTACTTTTAACTTTTGAGAAGCCTTCAAGCTCCAGGCACAAAATAAAAAGGTAGAACCCTTATGCTGCTTTTTAACTATTAGTTAAAGGACACAGAGAGGCTGGTGGGAAGGGAGGGAATAAGGAAAGTGAATTTGAGCCAAGAAGGTGGGTTGAGGAAATCTAGTACTTTCCAGATCCTTCAGGATTTGTCCTCCACACTAGGTCTATGATTGGGAGGGAAACCATCTGACTTCCCAGAACTGCAGACCCACCCATACTGAAAGGCAAAGTGACAAAGGGCCTTCCAGACTTGCACTTTCACTTCCACCAAGAATTTCCTGGCTGGGGTGTTTGTGTACTGACTTATCTATCTATGGTACACCACAGAAAAATATCCCCCTTTGATTTGGGGAACTTTTAGGAACTGGGACCCCCAGGTAATACTTACACATTCAAAATCTCTCTCAGCTTTCCAGCCACCAATTTATCAAAGTTCTCTCCTGCACTCGTAAACTGTGGCACATCCTCTTCTCTGTCTCTGGAATAGATTCCTAAAACAAGGCCCTGAGAACAAAGCAAAAAAGATGAGTATAATTGGAGTAGATGCCTCAGCGGGGTTCAGGAGTCCCCGAGTTCCAGAAATTCCAGAAGGAACACATAATTCTACCAAAACTGTGCCCTCCATGAAGACAGAAAAACAAAACCAAAAAAGCAGCAGCCACATAAAAAAAAAAAAAAAAAAGCAGCAGCCACGGCCAATATATGCACTCCACCTGCCTCAGTGATTCAAATTCCTACAGAGACTCTGGGTCACCTCCAGGAAAGAACTCTGCTTTCACACAAAGCAGAAAGAGGTTTATTTATTTATTTATTTATTTAAATATTTTAGTTTTCGGTGGACACGACATCTTTATTTTATTTTTATGTGGTGCTGGGGATCGAACCCAGCGCCCCGCGAGTGCGCTAGGCGAGTGCCCTACCGCTTGAGCCACATCCCCAGCCCCAGAAAGAAAGGGGTTTGGGAAAAAAAAAAATCCAGTTGTCACCAAGTTAGACCCTGAAGGGCTTCTGAACATGTTATTCCATAATATGCTGCCCTGGCATATAAATTACTTTGAGCTGTTGGCACCTGAGAGACAGACAATATAGGCAGAGGTCTCAAAAATCCCCCTTTCTTACCTAAAAGCAGGGCATAAAATTTCCCATAAGAGAGGTGCCCTCACTAAACTAGGGAGAGCATTCTCATCACCACCGGCTGGAAGTTAATGCCAAAATGAACCTATACAAACAAACCTGCTGAAATACGCCTTATCCTCCATTAGCACTCCAATATATTTCCCAGTGCCTATCCCAAATGACAAGACAAAGGCCAACCTCCTTCCTCTTGTCATACCCCCACGCTTCATTTTTCTTTGTTTAAAAAGGTATAAAACTGCAAGGTTCAGTGGCCCAAGCCTGTAATCCTAGCTATTCTAGAGGCTGAGGAGGATCACAAGTTCAAGGCCAGCCTGGCAACTGAGCAATACTCTATTTCAAAATAAAAATGAAAAAAGGCATGGAGATGCAGCTCAGTGGTAAAGCATCCCTGGGTTCAATTCTTAGTACCAGAAAAAGAAAAAGGAAAGATAAAAAGCTTTTGGGCCTAATGCTTCTACAGGTCTTCATTTTCTTCTGTAGGATCCTATGTACATGTAAAAATATCAAATTAAATTGCATGTACCTTAGGTCAGTGTCAGGCCTACTTTCTTAGACTCAACCATGGAACTGAGGGCAGAAGAGAGTCTGTTTTTCCTCTCCTATAACCATCAAATGCAAATCTTAAGACATTCTGCTATTATAGGTTGAGCATCCCTTATCTGAAATGCTTTGGACCAGAAGTGTTTCTGACTTCAGATTTCTTTTGCTTTTTTTCAATATCTGGGATGGAACCCAGGGCCTCCCATGTGATAAGCAAGCACTTACCACTGAGCTATAACCCATCCCTTTTTATTTTTTAAGACACAGTCTACATTGCTCAGGTTGGCCTCAAAATTGGGATTTCCTGCTTCAGCCTCCAGAGAAGAGTAACAGGCATGAGCTACCACACAAGATTTTTGCTATTTTTGTTTGTTTTTTAATATTTCTCAAGAATGGGACCCAAGTCTAAACCTGACATTCATTTGTTTCATATACACATAGCTTGAACGGATTTTGGAAAATTTTGAATAAGGGATGTTCAACCTGTATTCATGGTACTCTGGTCAACTCAGACTGAAAGACAAGAAGTAAGCAACTTAAAGGAGGGGCAGAACAGAGGGTTCTGCCAAGCACTTGGTGGCAATATTCCTTCATCTTTACAAGCCCCTGGGCCCCAAAACTCAAAGAATGAAGTAAACCCTGTGCTTTTCGCTTTTACAAAGACTTTAAAAAAAAAAAAAAAACATTTCGTTTGCCTTAGGGCCACTCTGAGGTAAAAAGAACATGCATGCACTATTGCACTATATTTCCCACTTAACAAGATAAGGAAACTGAAACCTAGTGGGACACACTAGCCCCTGGATGGTAGAACTGTGTGAAAATCCAGATAACTTCTTCCTGTCCTTGGTCCTTCTCACAAAGCCACATAGGTACTTAGATTAAATACCACCCTGTCTATCTTTCTCACCAAAGAAAATACACTTTCCTTGGCATTGATAACTCTGCCAGGTTCTCACCTTCCTAAGTCTGCACACTCCCATAGACCAAATGGAGAACCTAGGAGTTAGGTCACTGTTACAGGCTTAGAATTGGAAAGAGCACTGAAGAAATGTGTGGTCCCTCTGTCATCTGTTGATACCTCCAGGAGACCTGTCTCAAGCCCCATCTAAAGAATTCTTCACCAGGGAGAGTCATTTCTTTCTGATCCTCCGGCATAACTCCCAAGCTTGTGCCCCTTCCACTGAGCCATTCCTCTTTCCAGATGTTTCAGACCTGAATTGCCTAATATGAAGGATCACTCTAATTTCTCAGGGCCCAATTAGGTGGAGTAGCCTTTTCTTCTGGAAAATGCTTTTCTTTTAATTTCACGAAATAACGCGTCTCTCTGCAGCGCCCCTTTCCCTAGAGAGGATCTCGTTTCCTCTGGAAACACGTTCAGGGAAATTGCTCCCAGAGGCCCTGTTTTCTGACCCTTGACTGCAGCAAGGAGGTCTTGGTGTGCAGCCCAGGCCCTGAGGCTGGCTGACTCTGGGACCTCTGCTGGCATTTGGGACAATAATGTCACCATCCCTTCTTAGTCACTCCAGAACTAAAAAGATGATGAATGAAATAAGCGCATGTCATTTTTGAAGCTCAGTGAGAGGGAGAAGGCTCAGTAAAGTGCGATCGGTAAATGGTAGCCGCAGGCATTCTCTTGCCCAGGGTTCAGGACCAGGCACTCCCCGCACAAGAAGGAAGATCGCGCCATCAGAAGACAGCAGACTGGGAAATCTCCGGGGAAGGGGGCACCGGCGACCCCACCCCAGCCCCTGCCAAGGCCGATCCTGCAAAAGGAGGGAACTTTTCATTTTAGTCGATTTGTGTAACTTGGCACAGAAGCAGCACACGCCGCGGCCTGGGCCCGCCCTGCCCCGCACCCAGGTCGCCCGCAGGCAGTCCTCCCGCGGTGGCCCGGGAGCAACTGCCGCCTCTCACCTTCGTCATGTCGGCGGTGGCAAGACTCCGGCCCCGGAGACAACTCACTCCCAGACGCCTGAGAGCAACTCGCCCGACTGCCGGAAGAGGCAGCAAGAACATCTTTTCAGCGCTGCCCCTTGCGCCGCCCTCCAGCAAGCACGTGGCGCAGGGAGGGACGGCGCGCGCCTGGGGGCGGGTCCACCGGGGTCGCCGGGCGCGCGCGTGGGAGCCGGACAGGTGCAAGGGGGCGGGGCTCTCGGCGCGCGGACTGGTGCGCGCCTCCGGGCTGCGGCTGGGCCGAGCCGGCGCGCGCCGGGGGCGGGGTGAGTGGGTGCGCCCTGGACCGGGCGGGAGCGCGCTGGAACAGTGAGCGGTGCTGGGGGAACGCGCGGCTTTGGGGACCGGCTTAGTATTAGAAAGAGCACTGAACTATTGTTGTGGTCCCTGGGACCAAGACAGGAGGGTCCTAGACCCGGCTTTAGGGTCCCGACAGGCCTCTGTAGAGGGGCGGAGCTGCATGTGACGTCCCTCAAGAGGCGGCCTGGAGGCGGAGCGAGCGCTGCAAAGCTATTAGGGAAGCCGCGAAGTGCGACAGGGCACCAGCGCTTGTTGTCACGGTTGCAGTTCACTCAACTGGATGGGAAAGACACTGGCTCTGAGTTATTTTTATTGCTGCCCTTGCTTGTGAACTTTCATGTGGTTCAAGGATGCAGCACTGTTAAGGCAGTTGGCCCAAATTCTGTTTTTGAAAATAGGACCTAATGTTTTAATATAGCTTTAGTTTTTGAAAGCGTTTTAAAAATTTCACTTAAAAAAAAAATACACGACTTCCTACAACTCTGGGAACCCAGGAAAGCACAAAGAGGGATACAAAAGATAGCTTTAATATTAAACTAGTATCTTATCATAATTTTAGCTGAATCTTTGATTTCAACTCTGGGAGCAGGTGGAGGGAAGGGACACATCAGCAAAGCGAGCAGACGCTGCCAAAGTCTCTGTTGCAACAAGGAAATACATCTGTTCCACTGCCTGAGGGTTGGACCTAGGCAGAGCAGAGATTTGATCACCCTATCTGGAAGACTGGGCAGGATGGGACTGGTTGTTGGCTAGAACTTCCAGCGTCTATGTAGTTAAAGTGAGATCATCCAGCAAATCCCAAGTTTTCAAGGTGCTTTTACTGTGTTTTTCTGTTAAAAAAAAAAAAAAAAACGAGGGGTAAAATGGTATCTATAACAGTGTCCCTATCCTCAAGGACTTCATTATAAAGTAAGAGTAAGAAAACTTACTTTTTAAGGGTCTTAAACTGGGCCTTATAATTAAATTGGCATAAGACAAACAAGAGAAAAGCATATAAATTTTATTTAAAATTTTGCATATACCTGGGACCTCACAGGGAAATGAGGACCTGAAAAGTAATTCAGTACTTATATTGTAGGTTGCACAAAATAATCATTGTGAAAAACAATAAATATACATGGAAGCCAAAGGAACGGATTAATTCCACAAGGATAGATGATGCAGATTTCTCTTTGCTTGACTTCTTGTGAAAGGGTAAAGCTTCTAAGCTGGAAAGTTTGAATGTAAAAGATTAGGTATGATTAAGTTCCTTTGTTACACCCAGATTCCTGAGATAGTTAAGACAACGCCCTACTGGCCATTTAGCCTAGTGCCTTATGCAGTTCGTCACAGGGCCCCAACCAATCAGTTTGAATCACCTCCCCCCACCCACCTGTTCCCGCCAATGAATGTGCTAATCACGTCTCAGAGTTGTTGTTCAATTTTCCTGCGCCTCAAGATGATTTGTTCTGATGTATGCAAAGCCCACCGCCCTCTCCAGAAAGTGTACTTAAGCTCTGCTTGACCTCTGCTCTGGGCTCTGGGCCGCTCTCCCTTCCTGAGTGAGCCTTGAGCCTCAGCGCGCTGAATTAGAATCCTCTTCAATAAACTCCCGCCTGCTCATTGCATGAAGCTGGTCTCTTGTGGTCTCTTTCTCCAATGAACCGGACCCTTACACTTGTCTCTGACCATAGTGCTCTCTTCCTCCTGGCATGGGGGAAGCATCATTCACAAGTGAGTTTTAACTCACTTTCAGAAAGAAAAGGTGAGGCCAGAGAGCCCTTTTGCATTTGTTGTTTTTCAACAGCCTTTGGCTCAAAATAATCTTTATGTCAAAGTGATGTATTTTGGGTTGTCATATTCTGCTATCCTTAATTATCTAGTAAGCATAAGATAGTTTTAAGAAAGAAATTTTAATAAGACTTATACAGTTGGGCTGGGGATGTGGCTTAAGCAGTAGCGCGCTCGCCTGGCATGCTCAGGGCGCTGGGTTCGATCCTCAGTACCACATAAAAATAAAATAAAGATGTTGTATCCACCAAAAACTAAAAAATAAATATTTTTTTTTTAATATTTATTTTTTAGTTCTCGGCAGACACAACATCTTTGTTGGTATGTGGTGCTGAGGATCGAACCCGGGCCGCACGCATGCCAGGCGAGCGCGCTACCGCTTGAGCCACATCCCCAGCCCTAAAAAATAAATATTAAAAAAAATTCTCTCTTTAAAAAAAATTTTAAAAAAGACTTATACAATTATATGAGGGTATATGAAATGGCTTGAACCTGGAGTGTCCCCCCAGGCCTGTGTGTCAAGACTTGTGTGTCAAATGCCTGGCCTCCAGCCTTCGGGGCTATTGGGAGTTGGTGGACCCTTTAGGAGGTGGGGTCTGGTGGGAAGAAGTTGGTCACTGGGTGTGTGGTTTTGAGGGGATATTGGGCCCCTGGTTGTGTCCTGATTGCCACGAGGTGAATAGATCTCTTCTACTAATTGCTGCTGCCATGGTATGACCTAAAATGACAGAGCCAAGTGACCATGGCCTGAAACCTGAAACTATGAGCCAAAATAAGTCTTTCCTCCTATGGTTATCTCAGGTATTTATTTGTCATGGGGATGGGAAGGAGTTCTTTCTGTGTCTATTTCATTGCTTGACCATATCTTCCAGGAAACTTTCCTGACCTTCCACTACTAGGTTATGTGCTCCCAAAGGAGCCTGCCTCAAAGTGTAGTCACCTTATTCTCTTTGCCCCACCCTCCCCCCCAGGCATCTTGGGGCATTGGCTTTCATCTTGGGATATTCAGTTCCTAGATTTAGTGTCTAGATTGTGCCTAGTTGCTATGTGAGGTGCTCAGAAGATGTTTGAAAGAATGCATGATCAAGGTCTAGTGAAGGTAGCGTTGGTAATTAAAGGATTGGTGTCGCTTGTGGCTTTCAGATAATAAACAGGCACACACACAGCTCCAAATGAGCCAGCAGAATGAGAAGCACATAGATGACTGAGGGCCACAAGATCAGGAAGAGCATGTGGGAAGGTTTAGGCTTGGCTTGGGGCAGAGATGTTAGAACTGCCTAAAATAAAAGGTGGATATAAAGAGGATGATGCTGGGTTAAACAGGATCTTGAAAGGCAGGAAGTGAAGTTTATTGTGGATGTGGGAGTCAACAAGGAGCCAGTGATGCTCTTTGTAGAAGCTGGGACAATGTACAATTGATGGACATTTCTGTCCAGGGAAGAGAAAAACCAGTTTGTCTCCATTTGCCTGTTGATTTCAGTAGGCCCGACCTATATTATATCCACTATTAGAATTCTCTTTATTTTATTTTTTTTGTTATTAGTTGTTCAAAACATTACAAAGCTCTTGACATATCATATTTCATACATTTGATTCAAGCAGATTATGAACTCCCAGTTTTACCCCGTATACAGATTGCAGAATCACATCTGTTACACATCCACTTTTTTACATACTGCCATACTAGTGTCTGTTGTATTCTGCTGCCCTTCCTATCCTCTACTATCCCCACTCCCCTCCCCTCTCCTCCCATCTTCTCTCTCTACCCCATCTACTGTAATTCATTTCTCTCTCTTG